AGGCTGTAATTTACTTTCAGTGGTATAAAGAAAAAAAAAAGTCACTTTGCCTAAAGTGTATGCATTTTTCTTAAGGGTTTACCCAGATTTTAATTATCTAAATGTAAATACTTAACGAATTTTACTTAGAGTAATGAGCTAAAGTGCACACTACATAAATGAGATGTTCTAATTAATCATGTATGAACTACTGGTTTAAAGAAAAGCTATGTGAATTCTGTGAATGTTGGGTTATTGCCAAATTGCTAATCAGCATTTGCATTCATAGATGGCTTCACTTAATAAGTTGTGAGACATTCAGCAAATGTTTTAGGAAATTATGAGTTTTTATATGCAAAAACTTTTTGCTTTTAACTCTTTTTTTTCTCATATGAGCCTTTACCTGCTTCTTAGAAACCGTAAGCAGACATCCATGTGGAGAGATAAAAATATGGCCCAAAAGAGTTATTTACCGAGACATCGACACTGTTGTGGTTGGATGGTACTGTAGTGTTGTGTGAACAAAGGGTTGTGGGGATTGGCAGTTATATGTGTACAAATTAGAAATGCTCCCATGTTCTAGTAGAGCAGTTCACAAACATTTTTGTCTTTGAACTTACATACTTAAGAATTATTGATGGCCCCTTAAGAACTTTTGTTTTGTAGGTACTGCCAATATTTATAATAGAATTAAACTGAAGTTTTCCAGATAATTATTAGTTAACACAAAAATGACCTACAATAACATGAATAACATTTTTTTTAAAAACCCTATGTTTTAAAAACATACGTAACTTAGAACAGTGGCATTAGAATAATATTTTTGCAGAACCCTTTTAGTTTGGGCTTAATACAAGTCCACTGGATTCTTTGATCTGTTCTATAATCAATCTGTTGTCATGAAATGTATGACGAAAACTTGGCTTCACACAGATAAATCATTGGAAAAGAGAGAGAAAGGGGGACTGTGTTAGCAGTCTTTGCACATACTGTGGATATTCTTTGGTATTATACTAAAACTTGACAAGTTTTATTGCAATGTGCAATCTGAAATCAGGTTTACTGTTTGTAATTTGTTCCTTTAAAATTTGCGAACCTAGTTCCCACTTTGAATCGATCTTCTCCCTGTACATGATTTAGTAACATTATGCAGCAGTCATCTGGAAATACGGATTTCACTGAATTTTGCATATCTCTGAAATCTTGGTACAGTTAATTGTTCAATATCAAACTATTATATTTCCACAACAACCCCAAACTAATCAGGAAAAAAAAAAATTAAGTACTGGTAAACTGTCAAGCACATGTGTTAGATATGTTTTCAAAAATTTTTATTGTCATTTAAATTTTCATTAAAACTCCAATTTTATTATTTGCATTAAATACTGCCCGTTGATTTTCTAATGAGACAAGCTAACTTTGTTCATTCTTGAGAAAATATCTGCCAAAAATAGTTTGTCAATTTTGCTTTTAAGTCAAAATTGTGTTCAATGAAAAAAGTGGCTTCAGCCAACAATTCAGACAAGTGCTTTTTCTTAGAATTACCAATCCTGCAATATACAACAGCGCTTTTTATGTACTTCTCATTTTGTCACACAGATATTGAAAACATTCTTTTCTTTTCTCTTTTTTAAAAACATTTTATTGAGAGCTCTTACAGCTCTTGTAATAATCCATACATCAATTGTTTCTAGCACATTTGTATATATGTTGCCATCATTATTTTCTAGACGTTTATTTTCTATTGAGCCCTTGGTGTCAGCCCCCCCCCCTTTTGTGGCCCTTTGACAAATTATAAATTATTTTTATTTTCATATCTTTCACTGACCGCTGTCTCCCTTTTCCCACAGTTTCTGTTGTTTATCCCTCTGGGGGTCTGGGGGTGATGGTGGTGGTGGTGTGGTTATGTGTCGATCATCAACATTGGTAACCCCTTCCTAAAAACATTCTTAAAGGTTGAAATGTGATTAAGAAATAATTTTGATGGCTTCTCCCAAGGACATTTTAAAGTATAATTGCTATGAATATGTATGCTGTGTGCATATGTATATGTGTATTGGTGAAGAATAATGCAGAAGGAATCACCTAGTATAGTGTTTCCCAAAAAGATTTCTTAGCACACTAGTCCAACATGGTTGCCATAGCCACATGTAGCTATAACCAGAAAAACTAAACCCATATATTCACATAAAATGTTACATATACCATACTAAAATTAATTTTACTGTAGCTTTTAATTTTGTTTAAATGTGGCTGCAATCTAATTCTATGGGGAACACTATTTGAAAGAGGTTTCGTGTCTGTATTTATTTGGGGAAAATTTGGTACGCCACTTCCTCTGGAAGATGCATTGTGTATATAGTTCCGATTAGTTCTGCAAAAAACAAAAAAGTCTCTGAAAGTTTCGGTTAATGTAACATTTCTCAAACATACTATAGTCTTGGACCATTTATTGACATTCTGTGGTGTGGAACTTGGAATTTGTTAATTCCAGTTTTGAAGAAACATAGATCTAGTTCAGTTTTCTTCATTTTACTGATTAGAAAACTGAGGGTGAGAGACAATTCTATAGTCTTAAAATTATATAAACATATTTTTAGGAAAAATTCAAGGACAAAAATATACAAGGAGAGTATTAAAATGTTTTGTGGGAATTCAAAGGTAATAGAATTTTTTCATGAACTCTTTGAAGTGCCCCCTCCTTCCTCTTCCCCTCCCCCCTGGTGTATTTTTTGCAGGGTGACCATTTGTTTGGCATAAGTTAGTTTAAATTGATAATATATTGTTAGAGAATATCTTAAATTTACCTCTCTATTTTCCTTTGCTAAAAGATGGAAAGAACTTAATGATTTTAAGGCTTAGAGTTGTTTTTAATGCCTCATAACCTAGGACAGTAATTCTTAGTCTTTTTAAAAATTATTATTATGAACGGACTCTGTAAAGAAAATTTATATAGAATCTCTCCTCAAGAAAATCATATGTACATACATACAAATTTTATAGGATTTTAGAGGCCATAGACCTATCCTTGGGCTGCAGGTTAGGAATTCCTCATTTGTTTTTCAGGGATACTAATTTCACATATAGTAATCAGTATTTCTCACTTTTTCTCTGACCAAAAGAAAAGAAAACTCTTAAATTGTAATACAAAAGCTCAGTCAAGATATAGTGTATATTTTATATAATTCTACACTGAATAATCCCATACATATAAGACAGGATTACTAGTCACAACAAAATTCAAGTTTTCCTAAGGCTTAAAGCTTTTTAAAAAATGAAATAAATTGGTAAGCAAGACTCATTTGATCTCAACTTTGAAATAATTATAGTAGTGTTTCATGAAATCTTATAAAACACTGAATGTGTTTGAAAGGTCAGCTCTTTAATGAGCAGTTAGGAAAACCATCATTTGAGCAATGTACAGGATATCTGTAGGGAAGTGGGTAGTATTATAGCATCAAAATGTGTCTTGCCTTGATCATTGATCATTTTATCTGCGCACCTTACCAAGGCCATTTATTCAGTAAGGCACAGAATCTCCTATCTTGCCTTTTCAATGAAAATGCTACAAGATGCCCTTTTTAAATTTTTCAATAATATAGACTGATGCCTTATTTATTAAATATAGTATAGGTCCAGTTATATGCAGCATTTTATTGATGTAAAAGAATACAGGCAAGCTGAAAGACAGAGGCTGAGGTTAATCAAAACATTTGATCCAAATCTGGACATTGTTTTTCTTCTGCCTTTGTGCTGAAGAGTAGAAATGCCTTATCTATCTTTCGAGCGTGGCTTATACCCATAAGGCCTGTACTATACTTAAATTAAACTAGGAATTGGGAATGCTTGGCATCCAAGATCCTTTACATGCTAACTCAAACCTGCCTTTCAGGGATTAATCCCTTCTCTCCCCGGGTGGTGTGTCTTTGAAACCCACCAGGTGCTCCCATGGGAGAAAGATCAGGCTTTCTGCTTCCCATAATGATTTACAGACTTGAAAAACTCATAAGGACAGTCCCTACGCTGCCTAGTAGAATCACTATGAATCAGACTTGGCTTGTTGGCAGTAAGATTAGTTTGGTGAGCTTTTTTCCCCCCACTTGCCTATCAGTTTGTTGTATCAGATTTGTCTATCAGATTGTGCCCTGGAATGTTACTGAGAAGTTATGGTACTTGTATTTAAAATACTAGCATGATCATCCACAGTGAACAGGTTTTAGCAGAGCTTCCAGACTAAAAATAGACTAGGAAGAATGAAGAGGTTCTTCCAAAAAATCAGCCACTGAGAAACTTTCCCTCAACATAGTCCTTATAATCCTACCAGTTCTCTGAACTTGCTGCATACTATTTGCAGGGTTTTTCTTTGTTCTGCCTGAAATTTCTCCCAACTTACTTCTTTATCTGCCTTCCAGAAATCTTACTTAATCTTTTAAAAGCCCAAATGCACTTCTGCTATGAAGCCTTGCATGCTCTCTGCTTCCAGGTACAAATACCTACTAGTGGAATTTACAAAGTACTTATTCATATCTTGCTTGTGACACTTAGCACAGAACCGCCTTATATGAGAATTAAGTTTTTGGGTGCTTTCTCTCATTGAAGACCAAGTCCACATCTTGCTCATTTCTGTGTTCTCATAGCACTTGGAAACATTTAAACTTTGTAGGCCTTGAGTAAACATTTGTTGAATATATAAAATTCCCAGAGATAATAGTAGGTACTTAGCATTAACAGTGAACATATATTTATATGTAGAAGTTGATAGAAATGATCCTTTAATGGGAAAAGGTGGGAGTGGAGTGAGGGTGGAAGGAGAGTTGAGTGCAGGTCCAACAATTTATAGTTTCAGAATTCTTGCCCTATCTAACTACCACTTCATAAATGTCTTAGTTTTCATTTTATCCCATCCATTGCATACATCTATTGGCAATTGCAAATGAAATAGAAATTCAGATGAGTTAATGTCTGGGTGTATAATGTAAAATACCAGTTTCCTAAAGAGTGATTTTCTCTTCCCCTTACAGGCATGTAATGAATTCACTACACATGTGATGAATCTTCTCCGAGAACAGAGTAGAACACGTCCCATTTCCCCAAAAGAGATCGAAAGAATGGTGGGCATCATCCATCGAAAATTTAGTTCCATTCAGATGCAGCTCAAACAAAGCACTTGTGAAGCAGTGATGATTTTAAGATCCAGGTTCCTTGATGCCAGGTATGTGAGGCCACAAATCTATTGCATGGTGTCATCCCCACCCCGCTCCTTCTCTTGTTTATAGTACTTTCTGTAAAACTGATTAGTTGGTCTTAGATTCTCTAAATGTGACTAGGTCATTTACCTCCTGCTCTGTCAAGCCTTTTCTCAGAGTTGATAACTTCCAATTTGGTGATTCAGCAAATGATTAGAATCAGTTTGGTTATAAATGACAACAAAAAAAATACAGCCTTTGATAATTTAACAAAGATTTGTTTTATAAGAAGTTTTCAATGTTACATTGCTTGTACAAATTATAATATTTAGGTATATGGATACTCTAGTGAAGGAGACAATATTCTGGTTATTCGCATTTCCCAGAAGACTCCAAACCCTGTATCTTCAAATCAAATAAGAAAACCAATTCATTTCTACTCTGAGGACTAAAATTGCCCCTTTATCTAAAGCTTTCAGTAAGTTTCAAGGGAACCAGGTAATAAGTTGTATATCCTATGTTTTAGATATAGCTGACTGATAGAACAAAGGATACTCATTCCTACTGTATCCTATTCCGTCACAGGGATGTCTCTTAGACATGCTAAAGCTTATGATCCATCTTCAATCCTGGGAAGAATTTTGTTTTGTTTTCTCCCCCTTACATGTGTATTTGACAGAGGTGAGAATTACCATATGATTTTAAGGAAAGTAACTTTTAAGTTAGCTTCGCACTCTGGAAAACAAGTTGTATCATGCAGTTTTCATCCTAGAGATCTTTCTCAGAGCCAGTAAGAAAACACTGAATTAGTTACTAGAATTGACTATTGCTTCATTTTCAACATTCTTCTTTCTGTCCTTACTGACAATACCCAGCCCCTGGCCTTCCTTCTATACTTAGACTAGCACAGCACTTTCTTTTGGTCTCTGTCTTTTGTCCTATTCCCTTTCAGGCCATTCCCCTCATTTCTCTTCTCTGTTTCTATAGCATCTCTGATGCCCAATTGCTTTGATTAAAAAGCTTAACATACACAGGTTTTTAAAATGTTGGATATCTTTAAAGCCTTAAGATTTTTTAAAATTAAGCTTTATTTTTTCTATTTAAAAAATATCAAATATACTATGAAAAATTTGGAAATTTTATAGAAGAATGAGGGATAAAAGACAACTATATTTTTACGTCCTATAAGCAATTACTGTAAATATTTGAGTATATTTTCTTTTTGGTCACTTCTTATTTGTATAAATCTTTGTGATGGTTCAATGTATACAATGTCATTTTCTATTTTTATAAAAAATTATTATGAATAAATAAGAATCACATTTTATATGATATAAGCTATAATTTTTTTTAACATTTTATTAGGGGCTCATACAACTGTTATCCCAATCCATACACACATCAATTGTATAAAGCGCATTTGTACATCGTTTCTCAAAACATTTTCTCTCCATTTAAACCCCCGACATTAGGTTCTCATTTTTCCCCTCCCTCTCCGCTCCCCCCTCCCTCATGAGCCCTTGATAGTTTATAAATGGGTATTTTGTCATATCTTGCCCTGTCCGACGTCTCCCTTCATCCTCTTTTCGGTTGTCTGTCCCCCAGGGAGGAGGTCACACACAGTTCCATGTAATCGGTTCCCTCTTTCCTACCCATTCTCCCTTTACCCTCCCTGTTTTGCCACTCACACCACTGGTCCTATAGGGCTCATCCATCCTGGATTCCCTGTATTTTCAGTTCCTATCTGTACCAGTGTACCTCCTCTGGTCTAGCCAGACTTGCAAGATCGAATTCGAGTCATGGTAGTGGGAGCGGGGAGGAAACATTTAGGAACTAGAGGAAAGTTGTATTTCTCATCATTGTTACATCGCACCCTGACTGGCTCATCTCCTCCCCGAGACCCCTCTGCAAGGGGATCTCCAGTGGCCTACTAATGGGCTTTGGATCTCCACTCCGCACTCCCCCCATCATTCACTATGGTTAAGATTTTTTGTTCTGATGATGCCTTACACCTGATCCCTTCGACACCTCGTGGTTGCATAGGCTGGTGTGCTTCTTCCATGTGATCTTTGTTGCTTCTGAGCTTGATGGCCGCTTGATTACCTTCAAGCCTTTAAGACCCCAGACGCTATACTTTTTTATAGCTGGGCACCATCAGCTTTCTTCGCCACATTTGCTTATGCACCCATTTGTCTTCAGTGATCCGTTCGACACCCCTTGATCACACAGGTTGATATGTTGTTCCATGTGGGCTTTGTTGCTTCTGAGCTAGATGGCCGCTTGTTTACCTTCAAGCTTTTAAGACCTCAGACTCTATATCTTTTGATAGCTGGGCACCATCAGCTTTCTTCACCACATTTGCTTATTCACCCGCTTTGTCTTCAGCGGTTGTGTTGGGAAGGTGAGCATCATAGAATGCCAGTTTAATAGAAGAAAGTATTCTTGTGTTGAGGGAGTACTTGAGTGGAGGCCCAATGTCCTTCTGATAAGCTATAATTTTAAATACCATTTTGATAGTTGAATTTTACCTGTTGGCATAATTAATAATTTATTTCACCATTCCCCTATTTTTAAACCTTTAGGTTGTTCGCATTAATTTTTCAATATCACATCTTCCTCCTTTTTTCCCTCCATAACTATTTTTTATTTAAAGATTTAGTAGTTAATAAAAAGACATGTTTGCCCTCGTTGAGTTTATATTCTGTTTGGTGAAGCAAGTAAACAAATATACTGTAGTATTCAATTTATAGTACAATGATCAGGGTAAATGCTATGAAGAAAAATAAAGCAAGATAAAAAAGATAGAAAATAGGAGAGAGGCCCTATTTTTTATTGAAACTAACATGCAGATGCCTTTAACAGGAGGATTATTTCCTACAAATTAATTTCTGAATAGAATTTCTAGATCAGAGAGTTTGAACATTTTAGTGCTCTTCTCATTAAATCATTCCTTTCTGTGCTTTATCCAAAGGGAAATACCTCTTGATGCTGCTTGAAATAAAATACCTTTTTTTTTAAGTGGTAAGGATAAAATAATAATACAGAGACAAACATATAAATAACGAGTAAAAAAGAAAAGGCCACCATGACTTTAAAAGGCCAGGGAGGGAGGAAATTTTTGTCATGAAGCAAGCAAGAAATAACTTGCACTTAGTACAATTTCAAGTTGGGGCAAGAGTGAGGTCAACTGACCTAAGTATCCAGTTCTATCCAGTATAATCACAATAACAATTTTCTCTGATACTAAGGCTGTTTGAGACCCTTCCTGTTGCCAGAGGGGATCTGCCAGCTGCTTAATCTGTCTAGATACTCTGTACATGTATTGAAATACCTCTTATGCATGTACTGTTTTTTTTTTTTTAAGTATTTTGACCACCTACCTTCACTTCCTAACTCCACAAACTGTATTCTTCCAAGTTGGTCATCAATCATGAATTGTCATCTCAGAAGACATTGAGCATGGTACATGGAGTGCAGCTGGTGTTTGCTGGATCTAATGTAACCCTGTACAGCCTTCAACGCCCAGCCTAAATGCTGCTTCTTAAGGAATCCCACTTTCATCATCTCACTGCACTGGCCCGTGAATTTTCTTGAAAACCAATACTATGTTTATACAATTCTTAGCACCAAATTTTGTGCAGACTACTTTTTATTATAGCTTTTCGTTTTCATATCTTCTCTTCCCCCAGGAAAACAACAGTCATTGAAAGCAATGGCCATATCTTACGTAACATACCCCATAACTTTAGAAGATGCCTTACATGTAATAGGACGCAAAAATAAGTTAGTGACTGACAGATGAATGCATATCGTCATTTAATCTTTTAAGCACTTTTAAGTAATTAAAAGAGTTGGATAACGGCAGAAAGCTGACAGGACAAAAAAATATCTTTAAATATTCAGATTTGAACATTTTAATAAGCTATAATACAATAAAGATATTTAAAAGCTTTTCTGATAGAAAGGAATCCTTCCTAACACAATTGATATCCTATCTATCTGTCTGTCTGTCTGTCTGTCTGTCTGTTTGTCTGTCTGTCTATCTATCTATCTATCTATCCTATTTCTTATACGTTTCTATTCTGGACATGTATGCTTAGTTTTTACATAGCTGCATTCATAATGTATACACCTAAATGATTGATGTTTCTTCCACAAAGGGAAAGAATGTTAACAAGCCAGAGTGAGCAGAGTCAAAATGAGAAGGTAGCAGAGCTTGGAGCCGAGTCCTTCTCCCACAGAGAATTCTGTTAGTAATGTTGTGATGCTGAAGGAACACAGTCTTGGAACTGATGAGCCACTGTACACTGGCCTGAGGCATAGCCATTTCTAGTGTGGTGAACGCTGGGGGCAATGAAACTTTAGGGGATATGCTTAATGGGTACTTTCTTTAAAAATAAATAAAGCATAAGACTAGATTCTCTCTTTTGCCTTCAAGGGAATGTAAATACTGAGCTTTGAGTCCATCTATTCTTGTAGTGTCTCTTAGCAAGCCCTATGCACTGGGGAGGCAAGGTTATTCTGCTCTAGGCAAAAATGCTTATTCAGATATATGATTCCCTGGCTCACTCTGGCATCCCACAAAGCCATACTCACATTTTCTTGATAATTGGACAAACTGATGCCATAGCACAAAGCATTTAAGTATGAATTTGTGTAGGCCCCACTGCTCTTCAAGGAGAATGGTGCAGTTTGGGATGGGCAGAATATCTGGGGTCAGATGCTCTGGTCTCCTGTTTTTTTTTCCTCTCAAGTTTTTGATGTTTGCTGAAAACAACTTCTAGGCAAAATCAATAAGTGAGCCAAGCTCATCTTTGCTTTTCTGGATATATTTCTATCCTTCACAAGTCTCCATTTCCCAAAGATAACTTCTGCCATGTGTCATCTACTTTAATCTATTTGCTCTGAGCTTTGTTGTTGGATTCTATATTTTAAACTGGTAGGCACAAATTTAATTGCATACTTATAATGGCACTGATAAAAGTGGCTGGGTTGGAAATGCCTTGGGTTACAGTAAACAGGCACATATCTAAAGAGACAGGCACCCCTGAACTTTAGTCTGTAGCTGCTTTACAGGAGTGTGGGCCTCCAGAACCCAGATTTTTTTCATCAACAGGTTATTACCGTGTGGTTCAGCAAACAATAGTTGTGGGCAAAGTAATGTCTGTAGGCTTAGCAGTTTCAGTATTTATCCTAGATTTTTCCCATTCTACTCCTCTACCCACCCACTCATCAAAACGAGCCTCTTTAAAGTGCCCCAACTCAGGACCTTCTTTTCTTTTCATGAAATTCATAAGCCCAAATCAAACTGCTCTCATGTCAGCAGTTGGACAAAAATGCTAAAAAATCCTAATTGCTCCTCTTGATACAATTCTCTTCTATCTCTTCCTTTACTAGCACCCTCCCCCTTCTTCCATTGTCATCAAGCCATATTGATTTTAATCCCCACGTAGATCTTGAATTTCATCTTCAACCCCCAGGAAACAATGGGGTAACCCCTCAGAAATGATTGAAATTAAGAAATTTCAGGACTCAACCCAAGAAGATATCTTGTTTCTTGATTATCCTTTAATGTTGAAACATAGAACACATACTTAATAATGATACCATTTTAGCTAGAAGAGTATCATACAATACATATATTTACAACTGACTATTGCTACTGTCTTTTGTATGTGCAGAATATCACACTAGAAAATATTAGATCATTTATAAGGAAGTATTAAGAAAATTATTTAGAGGGAAAATATTTTCCAGATTCCAGTTACTAAAACGAAGTCTGTCAAATGCTAATTTTCAGGCTGGAATTCTTTATAAAATCTTGATCATGAAACCCAAATATTCATGGCTTTGGCGCTTTGCAATTTTCACTAATTAATATTTGCTCTTCTGATATCGTATCACCTTCCTCCCAGCCAAACAAAACAATTGTTCTTCTCCTTTTTTCTTTGGAAGCAAACCATGCCCCAATCTCTAGGTAGTTGACTAAGCATAAAAGTTCAAATTCCTTCTTGATGTATTTTTGCCCCTTACCTTCTTTCTCTCTGTTATCTCTTCTGGCCCCCTCCATCCAATCCTTAATCAATTCCTATCACTTTTACTTTTCAAAAGGATCTTGAATCTTTTTATTTCTATTGTTTTCTTGCCCATGCCAACTTACCATCATCTCCCAGTTAAACCACTGCCCTTTGTCTCTGTAGCTGGTCACTTCATTTCCTTTCTGCTATACGCCAGCTATTCTCTATATAGCAGTCACAATGATCTCTTTAAAATACACAACTTAAAATCTTTAATAGCTTCCCATTGCACTTCCTTTCAGACTCATCTCACACATTCTTTGGTTTTTATGATATGCCAGCTTCCTCTTTCCAAGCTCCTTCCAGTTTCAGGACTATCTGCTCTGCCTCTTCCCTTCAAACTTTTATCTTACTAATACCTGCACAATCTCCAATGCTTAGATTAAATGCCAATTCTTCAAGGAAACCTTTCCTGACTCCATAGTCTTTGTGAGGTTTTCTTCATGTAGGCTCTCATTTTGCTGTGTTTTTTTCCTTCATGGAACTTTTAAGTTACCATGATTTTTAATTCTTTATTTCATTGATACTTGTTTAATATCTTTCTTTCTCTCAATTCTCTCCCCTCTCTCGTAGCCCTCCAGTCCCGTGTAAGCTCTCTGGTAGCAGAGACACCTTGCCTGTTTTAATCTCACAGGATCTTCATGAGTGTTTAGAACACAGTAGGTCCTCAATAAATATTTGTTGAATAAATTAAAGAATGAAATTAATTGTTCTCCACATTCTACTATTTGTCTTAGTGATCCTGCATCATAAAATAAGTTGGATGGTGCTTTGGAGGGTGCCAAGAGCATGATTTACAATATCAGAGTGATAAATTAGTCCTGTAGGAATGTCTAAAAATAAAAATCTACTTTTTAATGTGATCTTGATTAATCTGTCCCTCTTTGCTTAGTGCTGATTATAACTGTGATTCTTTTTTCTACTCTTGTCATAGACGGAAAAGGCGTAACTTCAGCAAACAGGCCACAGAAATCTTGAATGAATATTTTTACTCACACCTCAGCAACCCCTACCCCAGTGAAGAAGCCAAAGAGGAGCTGGCCAAGAAATGCAGCATCACAGTGTCACAGGTGAGCGAGGATGCCTGAGTTTGTCTTGTGCCCAGTCAGCACAGCAGCCCGCTTCCTTCCTCAGGGCTTTCTCATCACTTCATAGCCAAGTGGGCTAGCACCAAAGATTGAAAGAAAATTTAAGTATTTCCACATTTTTATGAAAATGTTTAAAATAGTAAGGAACCACGGTAATCATACGTGCCTCCCTCCATGTACTAAATGGGGAGGGCATGAATATGCCATGGGGAGAGACATATTTTCTCCTTAAGTAAGTGATTCTTCAGTAAATAGCTTGTAGTCCTGGTTGCACTGCTTTAGGTGACTGGCATAAGCATCTACGATGGAAAAACTTTGTTGCCAAATAGAAATTTAATGTAACTCATTGGTGAAACCTTTGAGAAATTTGCCAAGCCTCTTCTTGGTAACCATGCTATGTTTGGGTCTCAAGGATTTCTTTGGTTCATTTTCATTTGTTCAGCAGGAGGGTTGACTTCATACCTGTCCCTGATATTTGAAATGTCCATATGTAATAAATTGTGTCCCCTAAAGGTAGTGTCATGTTCTAACAAAAAATAAATGTATTTAAATAGACTTGTATTTGGATTGATGATTAAGATATTTAAATAAACAACAGAAATATTCCATTGACATTAGCTCTAAAATAGAATTTTATTTAAATATGTGTATAATTGTTTATTAATAATTGAATGGCATTTATTTTATGTTTTATTGACATGATTCATGTACCATACAATTCGGTGGTTTAAATATAATTAAAGAATTGTGCAGTGCACCTTCCTGACACCATCGCTGAAGACAAATGTGTGCTTAAGCAAATGTGGTGAAGAAAGCTGATGGTGCCTGGCTGTCGAAAGACATACCATCTGGGGTCTTAAAGGCTTGCAGGTAAACAAGCAGCCATCTAGCTCAGAGGCATCAAAGTCCACATGGAAGAAACACACCCGCCCTTGTGACCACAAGGTGTAGAAGGGACCAGGTATCAGACATGAAAGAACAAAAAATTATATAAGTAGGTGCTATGATGAAGACAAATGTGTGCATAAGCAAAAGTAGTGAAGAAAGCTGATGGTGCCTGGCTATCAAAAGATAAAAGGTCTGGAGTCTTAAAGGCTTGAAGATAAACAAGCGGCCTTCTAGCTCAGAAGCAACAAAGCCTACATGGAAGAAGCACACCAACTGTGTGACCAAGAGGTGTTGAAGGGATCAGGTATCAGGCTTCAAAGAACAAAAAAATCATATCATTGTAAATCAGAGTGAGTGCAGAGTGGAGACCCAAAGCCCATCTGTAGGCAACTGGACACCTCCTTACTGAAGGGTCGCAGGGAGGAGATGAGCCAGTCAGGTTGCAGGGTAGCAACGATGAAACATACAACTTTCCTCTAGTTCTTAAATGCTTCCTCCCCCCCATCATGATTCCAATTCTACCTTACAAATTTGGCTAGACCAGAGGATGTACATTGGTACAGATAGAAACTGGAAACAGGGAATTCAGAATAGATTACCCCTTCAGGACCAGTGAGAGTGGCAATACCCGGAGGGTGGAGGGAAGGTGGGGTAGAAAGGGAGAACTGATCACAAGGATCTACATAACTTCCTCCCTGGGGTATGGACAACAGAAAAGTGGGTGAAGGGAGATGTCGGACAGTATAAAACATGACAAGATAATAATAATTTTTAAAGTATCGGGTTCATGAGGGAAGGGGGAGCAGGAAGGGGCGTGGAATGAGCTGATATCAAGGGCTCAAGTAGAAAGCAAATGTTTTGAGAATGATGATGGCAACAACTGTACAAATGTGCTTGACTCAATGGATGTATGTATGGATTGTGATAAGAGTTGTATGAGCCCCCAATAAAACGATTTTTAAAATATAGTAATAAAAACAACAACCCTAAAAAAAAAAAAAAAGAATTTTGCAGTGAATAGCACTTCTTCTTATAGCATGCAAAAATGATAACTTACTAGGCAGTTGTGGCACTGAAACATAAAGAAAAGCTGATCCTGAACAGATTTCTTTGTTTCCTGGGGTTAACATACCTTAAAAATTCAAAGGAAATACTCTTGCAATGGACCTGAACTCCAAAGTACTACAGAGCACCTTTAGATTTCAATGATGAATCCATAGCAGTATTTTCCGTAATTGTAACTTAAGGATTCGAATATGAGTTTAATATCCTTTCTGGCTCCTATTCCAGCATTGTTTTCCACAGAACCTGTAGAGCAACCATAGAGCTATAATTAAGATTTCATTTAAGTTTTGTTGTCATTCTCTTGTGAAATGGTAGTATATCTTGATTCCTTTTGCTTGGTTTGAAATGGAGTATAATTGATTTGGGTTTCCATTTGTAATGACGTATGTGAAATATTCCTAGCTGGATTATATAGTACTTTCTGCCAGTTGAAATACTGAAGAACAGTATAACATGTTGAGACAGAAAGTAAAGATGAAATTTAAAAGTATATTCATTTCAAGAGGGTGTAGATTTTTTCCTGAACTTTAATGAAAGAGTTGGGCCACTTTGAGTCCTAGCTGATAGCAGCAAGGCTGACTTCTTGGCTCTAACAAAGGTTCTCTGAATTCAAATGTTTGCTGATCCAACTTAAAAATAGGGAGTTTCCTGGCTTTTGCATATTTGGATAAAAGATCTGCTTTTCAGGTCTTTTGGGTGAATGTGGGGAAATCAAAAAAGTATTGTTAAGGGGTTTCCATGTGTATATATGCAGGTTTATTCCAAACAAAACATGTTTAAACATGTTTCTGTGGTCGGTGTATGGCTGCATACAAGTTTTCTCTTATTCTCCGGGTACCGTAAAAGGTAGGTACAATCACAACAATGGCTTCTAGTAATGTCCAATCACAAGGGATCTAATAATGTTCCAGTGAAATTCAATACAGGGAGGGCAGCTCAGAAGGTTTATGGTGACTATTTTTTGGGATCCCAAGGGGATCATCATAACAGATTTTTTTTTAAAGGGCACGGGATGATCATAGAAAATTAGAAACTGACTTGTGATAAGGAATTTTCCCATCAAAATAATGCACCTGCTCATTCTTTAAGGGTAACAAGGCCGTCCTATAAAAATTTCATTGGGAAATCTTATCCCGTTCATTCTCCAGCCCTGATCTTAGCCCTTCAGACTTCTTTTTTCCCCACAAAACTCAAAGAACATTTCTTTCTTTCTTTTTATTAATCGTTTTATTAGGGGCTCATACAACTCTTATCACAATCCATACATACATCAATTGTGTAAAGCACATTTGTACATTCATTGCCCTCATCATTCTCAAAACATTTAATCTCCACTTAAGCCCCTGGCATTAGGTCCTCATTTTTTCCCCCTCCCTCCCCGCTCTCCCCTCCCTCATGAGCCCTTGATAATTTATAAATTATTATTTTGTCATATCTTGCCCTGTCCGACGTCTCCCTTCACCCACTTTTCTGTTGTCCGTCCCCCAGGGAGGAAGTGACATTTAGGTCCTTGTAATTGGTTCCCCCTTTCCAACCCACTCTCCCTCTACCCTCCCAGTATCGCCACTTATGCCACTGGTCCTGAAGGGATCATCCGTCCTGGATTCCCTGTGTTTCCAGTTCCTATCTGTACCAGTGTACATCCTCTGGTCTAGCCAGACTTGCAAGGTAGAATTCAGATCATGATAGTGGAGGGTGGGGAGGAAGCATTTAGGAACTAGAGGAAAGTTGTATTTTTCATCGTTGCTACATCACTCCCTGGCTGGCTCATCTCCTCCCTGAGACCCTTATGTAAGGGGATCTCCAGTGGCCTACAAATGGGCTTTGGGTCTCCACTCCGCACTCCCCGCCTCATTCACTATGGTAAGATTTTTTTGTTCTGATGATCTCTTCGACACCTTGTGATCGCACAGTCTGGTGTGCTTCTTCCATTGTGGGCTTTGTTGCTTCTGAGCTAGATGGCCGCTTCTTTATCTTCAAGCCTTTAAGACCCCAGACACTATACCTTTTGATAGCCGGGCACCATCAGCTTTCTTCACCACATTTGTTTATTCACCCGCTTTATCTTCAGTGGTTGTGTTGGGAAGGTGAGCATCATAGAATGCCAATTTAATAGAAGAAAGTAGGCTTGCATTAAGGGAGTACTTGAGTGGAGGCCCAATGTCCTTCTGCTACCTTAATACTAAACCTATAAATATATGCACATAGATCTATTTCCCCGTCCTCATATAAAAATATATTTGCATATGTACACCTCTTTATCTAGACCTCTATAAATGCCCTTTGCCTCCCAGCTCTTTCCTCTATTTCCCTTGACTTTCCTCCTGTCCCACTATCATGCTCAGTCCCCACCAGGGTTTCAGCAATTCCTCTTTCTTACATGACCCTTGATCATGCCCTATTAGGCCCCACACCCACCTCACCACCAATTTGGATTGCTTGTTGTTCCCTTGTCCCTGGGTTTGTCAAAGAACATTTCAAAGGAACACGACTTGGGTCCCTTGAGGATTCCCAAGCTGCCATTTTGATGCAGTGCAAATCAAAGAGCTCAGACTTGTTCAGGGAGAGGTTAGGGAGATGGTAACCCTGTCTTTAGAAGTGTATAGGCCAAGATGGAGATATATCGTGAAGCAGTAGCTTAAAATTTGATATTTTTGTATAACACCTTGATGACCAGTCATGACTACTCAGGTTTTCATGCCCTGATGTTGCTGGCTGGTCACAAGTAGCATGTGTTTTCACTTAATATTAGTTTATACGGTTTGTAAACCTGAAAGCAGTATGAATCTCTGTAGGCGCCAGGATAGTTTGGGCTTGAAATAGCTGGTCAGAAAAAAATTTTAAATAAATGTTTTCATCATTTGCCTGCAGGAATTTTGTATTTACCCTCCTATATCTCGGAGTGATATTGCTGGGTCATTATGGTAGTTCTTTGTTCAACTTTTCACATATAAACAGCTGAGGACATTATAGAGGGGCAACGAAAAAGAGGAAGACTCTTGGTGAGATAGATTGCCACAGTGGCTGCA